TTGGCTCAACTGAGCTTGGCTTCCTAAGGCCTAGCCGCTAGCCAAGCACACCTTAAGTCTAAGCTAACTCCGAGAAGAGTCTTCCGACAGCTCTTGTTGCTAAATGTTGAAGGGGAAAAGTGCAACAAACTTGTTTGACTGTACTTGTCACTTCGTGTAAAGGCAATGTGTGTCAGAAAACTGTCTGGCAGGGTTCCCTCTGCACTTCAGGCTTAAACGGAATATGTGTCATTGTGAAAACCGTGTTTCCATCAACATTTTCTAGGACTTAGATTGGAATTACTTTGGACTTAGTTTGGACTCGGACTTAGGTCGGGCATAGGTTGGATGTACCAAGTCCAAGCCAAGTCCAAGTCAGCCGGATGTGAAATAACTTTGAATCAGCTAAGTCAGTCAGGCCTAAGCAGTTACTATCCAGAGTTAGCTAAGTCAAAGCAAAATCAAATCTAATCTGTGTATATAAAGGTTAAGATACTTAAAACAAGGATTACTAGCAGGTTAGCAGGTTTATAACCTATATTACATATGGGTTGCAAGTTAAAGTTGAGGATATACCCGGCAAGTAGGGATATTGGAGCAACAATGAAGCTGTTGACCAGACTTCTCCAGGAACGCATCGGCAATGAGGTGGAAATACAGGTCAGGTGGAATATGACAAATACCTCCGCTGGCATGTCAATTTCTGGATCGCGGATCTTGGAGGGTCACCCAGTGCCAGAAGACTTGTGAGACCACAGGTTGGCGCTTGTGAGATTTGCAAGTCATGTTGCGGTAAGTTTTAGCACTGGAACAGGCCACAGGGTGGAAAACCGGGTTTTTACCCGTAGGCGACCCGTAAAGAAATCCGTAGCCGTAGAAAACCCGTAAAAAACCCGTGGACAACCCATAAAAACCCGTAGGAAAATACGTAGTTTTACGTAGTTTTCCCGTAGTTTCCAACATCCTGGGATGTTGGGTTTTGAGAGGTTATTGAATGCTCTTGGCCTGATCCGAGCGTTCCTGATCGCAGCCCAAAGGGATGCTTGCTGGGTCGAGGGCTAGCTAAGTCTATAGCTGAGTCCAAGGTAGACATACTATAAGTTTTTAGTACGAGTAGTGACTTAGCTTGGACTTTGCTAAGGTAGACGTAGCTTGGATTTGGAATAAATCAATTAGGCTGAACTTAGGTTGGGTTTCCCATTATATGTCGGTCCGAGCCAAGTCTCAATTTTGGTCTAAGCGAAGCCTAAGCCAAGTCCCACCTGAGTCTATTGAAAGTTCTTCCAAATCTTACTGGGGAATATGTGTCAGAAAATTGTCTGACAGTTCTTCCCTGTACTTCAGGCTTAAGAGGAATATGTGGCATTGTCAAAAACTTTTCTGACAGATTGGCTATAGGACTTTGCTTAGACTTACTTTGGACTCGGCTTGGACTTAGGTCAGGCAAGGGTTGGACTCACTAAGTCCAAGCTAAGTCCAAGTTAGCCTTATGGTGACTTCACTTTGATGTAGCCAAGTCAGACCTAAGCACTCACTATAACCTCCATTTTAGAGTTATACAACCATTTCCAAGCTGAATCACTTCGAACCTTTACCAAGGTTAAGTGACTGACACCAGAGTTACTAGTAATCTACTGTTGCATTACGGACTTATCACCTTTAGGTTATAAGTTCACATTAGCCATATGATATTCCCGGATATTTCCGGCGTTTGAACAAAGCCTTAATGAAGACCCTTAAAAGGTTGTGATGATTCCCGTGCTGTGTTCGCATGAGCAGTTAGCCACTTCCAATAACTACAGCTACACCGTTTGTTTCCTCCAGCGAATCAATGATGTGTTTGAATACCAAATATGTACATGAATCAAGCTGTGACTATTGTTTTCTGTGCGGATGATGGGTGGAACGGTGTTGGAACCAAGGTCTCCTACATCCATGTAAAAAACTACAACGGGAATCATTGTCCCAAAACCGGGTTTTTCAATCCACAACCGCAAAAAAACCGGTCGTAAGATAAAACCTTCCTTTTTCATGGTTTTGAGGGCTCATGGTATCTGCTATTTGAAAAAAAAAACACGTCTCGACTTCAACAACTGGCAGTAGCACACCCATGACCTACGCCAAACACACATTGGCCACACCACATTGCTATGACATGTTTTGCTACCGTCCCGTTTTCAGTCTGAGGTTCTGTATGATGCTTGAGATGGATCATTAGGTGGCAAGGGGCTTGGGGCCGTTCTGCCTCCCTTTGTTGACGCGTTCACACTGTTCTTCAGTTGGACTTTTTGTTGTGTTGCGCTGGTATATACTAGCTTTAACATCTTTTCACGGGTGTACAAAGGATCTTTTTCGGGTTGCTTCAACCAAGCAGCCATGAATGATGGTCAGGCAAATAACAGTTCACCAAACTCCAGCGGGTGAAACCACAATCAAAATTTGGTCAACAAACACATGACGTGCTTGGGTTTTGTCGAAGCAAGCTCAACTGCAAGCCTTGATTGAAACAAAAACGCGTGTTTCAACAGCACTTCGCGGAAGGCTGACACGAATTTGCCGCCACCAACCAATGTTTCGGCCCTACCCTCCTCTCAGCCAATCTCCGTTTCAACCGGAGCACTGCCCCGCCCACTGCCGCGCTCCTCACACCGGTCGCGGCCTCAAGATCATCCAGGGCGCCATAGAGATCACGCAAAGCAGATCCCTCTCTCAGCCGCTCAATGAACGCCTCGAAAAGGAGGGGGGCGAAAAGGAGGCGGCGAAAAGGCCCAGACCAGGGCCCACGGTGGGAGTCATACTTGTAGGATCTGAGATATATTAAATTACTCTTGAAAAGAACTCGCCACTGCCCAGAAGGTTTCGAGTATAGCCGCGCAAACAACCCCGAGGCATTTTGGTCCGAGGACAAAAAGACCTAAGAGCATCTACCTGGACCCTCCAGTCGAGGTGTTTCCTGGGTGTCCAATTTTGGTGTGCAGGTTCGCCACTGGACTTGGGGCCCCAAAAACCGATCTTGGAGGGTGCTGGTATAGAAGCAAAAAACGAGGCCAAGACGGAGAACCGTTCGACTCAGGAAGTTCCATGGAGGTGTCATGGACTTGGGAGTGGGGGGACGTCTGCTCAGGCCCACATCACCATGAGGGTAGCAGTTTGTGACAGAGAGTGACCTACTGACGGAGCGCCTCGAAGATACCCCCTTGACTGGACTCCAAAGACAGTTCCAGATTGGACATGGTGGCTGAATTGGAGTCAAACTCACAGGTGGTGACCTGGCCATTGCCCGGCTCGTCCTTTTTTCTCATGGGGTGGATCCATAGCCCTGGTCAGGTCAGGAACTGACCTCATGAAACATGGGAGGTTGGTGACAACAAAGCAAACACGACTCGTAAAATGTGGTAAAAGGGGAGGTTTTACTGGGCCAAACTGGACTTCTAGAGGTAGAACATGTTCTGGGCAGCTCCCTAGAACCTAAGGAATTCTTACTGACCGCCAGAAAGCCGAAGATAGCCAGGGTGGGATCGGACCACTGCCGGCGAACCTCTGTTTATACAATTTCATTAAGTTCTCTCCTTGTAATGCTCGAGCTTGCGTGTTGGTTTTTTTACATAACTCTTGTTTCACAAGGGTTGGGGTGAGGGCTGTTATAGACTCCCGCACGCTCTTGTCAGAACATCTAGAACCCTTCCAGGGACAAGGAGCATCTGCGACCCCCCCCAAAACTTCCAAGAAAGGGCTTGTTAACAAATTTCACCAGATTCCTGTGGTAGCATCCCAAACTGCAAGAAACTAAGAGTTGTCCAACGAACAATTGAACAACACCCGTGGCACCTGATCCACATTCAACGACGGATTCAACGACGGATGTCTAAAGTCACACTTCTTCTGAGATCGCCATCGCCATCGCGTCTTTGGAGCTCAAAAGGACCCAAAAAGGATGGTTCAGAACATTCCCGAACCCTTTCAGACCAGATCTGAAAGTTCCACACCACCACCCTGGCCCCCTTCTGCCCCGTCCGGGCCTCTGGGGCCGACTTCGCCGGGCGCCAACGTGTAGACATGGCTTTTTTTGGGGCCGGACATGGCAGGCGGACAGCAGGCGAACGTGGCAAGCAATCTGTCTTCGGTTTTGGCCACCAATGAGGTCCTTATATACTTGGGAAGAGTCGAAGGGTCCGGGTCAGGGTCAGTACCGCATATATCATATATATATATACACCTAATGTTGCTTCCCTATGGATCCACTGCTACCCCATGAGAGGGCCAGGGCGATATGTTCGACACCGTTATGGCACGAGAAGTGAGGGTCCAGTTGTACCGAAACCTGAGAAGGAGGTGGTACCGAACCTGAGAAGGTGGATGTTCCGATGTGTTTTACTATAATGACAAATTATCCATTTGCCCACCAATAGCAGCGAAGCCCCTAAGGGTTCTGCCCGATCTGAAACAGAAAAACGTCTGGTGACAGGCGTGTCAATAGTTTAAGAAACAACATGTTTGACTAACGGACAGGTGTCCAGGTGGCATGTTTAATCTCGTCAGGCTGGTTTGACAGCACTGAGCACGCCACTATTTGTCTAAATGGGCGGTTTATCGATGTTCTGCTCACCAAGTAAAAGAGATCACTGAGGCCTTCAACTGTTGGAATGAAATTATGCAACAAACACCTACACAAGCAAACAAGATTGCAAAAAAGTGACCTCCAACATCACAGAGTGTTACTGTAATCCAATGTACCAGGTAAACAGCACAAATCAGCACAACAAAGAAAGCCACAGGGCCAGTGATCTCCATTAACATTCCACTAGCTTGGACCCTGAGATCTTATTAGAATAAAATCTGCAAAATGTTGTATGAACAAGTTGTTATGGGCACCTATCCAGAACAACATGTCATGGGGAGACTACTGACTAGCCCACCCTGGGCTTGCATTTGCAATGTGTTGACACTCACAGCTCCTCTAACGGAAAATTTCCACCTCTAAACCACTCCCCCAAAGCCAAAATAGAAATAGGGCGGCGCACGGCTGGTGCGCATGGAGCTCCTCGGCCAACCCCTCTAGTCGTTCCAAATGCTTCAACCTTGGCGTGAAAGCGCTTTCAAGACAGGACAGCATCCAATTTGGTAAATAGACCTTCTACGAAATAGACATATATAGGTAACTCGTTCCAGTTGCTAAGATCTCAATTTCCATGAAAGACCATCAGCATCCATCGGCAATGTATGTTTGACCGCGCACACACACATGTAAAACGCATGTGTGAGTGAGCCCCTGTCAAAAAATAAACTATATATATAATGAATATATATTATAGAGAGAGAGACAGAACAATGGAGGCAAAGCTAAAAACCAATGCACGGAAATGTTTAAACATAACTAAAATTCTCCCTTTAGTCAAACAAACACAAAACCGATCTATCAACATGTCTGCCTTTTATCGCAAAATATCCCGGAAGACCAAACGCGTGGTCTGAAATGGTCATCTGTCCAAACGCATCGACTCTACAAACCTCATGAGTAAGGCTGAGCTATTGCTTTAGCTGGGTCACCAGTCAGTTGTCTGCGGGCCCAGCCCGCTGGTGGCAGTTTTTTCAGGTTCGAGATCCAACATGCCCTCTTTGTACCCGCAAGAAGCTTCACAAGAAGCTGGTTCTTCTCCCAACTGTTCCCAAAAGAATGGTCCAATCACAGTCTCTGGAGCCTTCCGGAATACTAGGCCCAAGCCCCAAAAAAGCAGCTATGCAAACCTTTTAACCGCAGCGCCCAGGTCTCGTCTCCAATCACTCGGCGTCAGCTTTCAAAGGGCTAATTCTGGACGGTTCGCGGTCGCTGGAGCTGCCAGTGGAAACTGTCGTCGAAGCTGTTGCGTAGAAAAACTAAAGGCCTGACCGACCTGACCGACGTTCCGACGCCCGTTCCGGTGGGAAGGTTGAGAAAATAGACCGGAATGTTATCCTTTGGGCCCAGTGTGCTTCTCGTATTCAGCTGTGGGGCTATGGGTCTCACACCCCCCATAGCTTGACCATGTCTCGGGGGTATCTATCCCGTTCACTTGTGAAAGGGTCACCCAATTTTGACCCACGGCCATATATAGAGTGCCTGCAACCCGAAACGACCACTTTTTTTTGTTTTTTCTTCAAACGACCGTATATTTTTCAAACGACCATAAAAAATGGTCTTTTCTTAAACGACCGTATTTTTGTCAATTATGATGAAGTTCAAAAATTACATCATGCACAGTGCATATCAAGCAGTTGATTTGTGAAATCGTATACGATCGTATACGACCGTATATTTCTGGAAACGACTGTATATTTTTCGAACCACGACCGTATTTTGTTGAAACGACCGTATATTCTTCGAACCACGACCGTATACAGGCCGTATGCAAACCGTATAAAAACATATACGACCAATGTTTTCATGTGTAAAATGACTGCAATATAAAACGACCGTATTTTTTTGAAACGACAAAAAAAATGGTTGTTTTCAAAACGACCAAAAAAAAGTGGTCTTTCCAGGTCCCAGGTGTATAAAAGAGATTGTATAAGTTGAAAATCATGTGTTTCTTGGATTGTTTAGGGGATATTACCTGACCACAACACAACGTGACCAAACACAAAACATGCTGACATCTCGCTCTCCCATGCGAGGTGACCTGGTTGGCTGCTTCATTCGTCAGGTATGTTACCCGAGTCATGTATTGTTTTAAAGTAGTTGTCTTTTCAGTTTTTTTGTTCGATCTGTCTATCGGTTCAGCCATGAAGTTCCGCCAAGTCCATCTCAATCAGCCAGGTCACATAATTCTGGAGAAGTCTTTCTTCAAACATTTCAAACATGTGATCAGCCTCTGTGCCCAACCAATGTTTTGCTTTGTTGTTTTTCAAGTGATGGAGGCAAACGAAACCGCAATACCGACCAATTCCCTTTCCCTTTCGCCCTGAAGACAGTCTTCAGTCTTGAATAGTCTTGAAGTCAAAATGTTAGTGAAACTAGGGTCCTTCCTTCCCATCGTGTCTCCCCCCCTATCCTGGCCTCCTGCCCTCTCTTTTCCCTTCACTGGCAGATTAAAATTGCACTACCAAATCGAAGGTGAGAACTTTGCACAAGCCTGACTGGAGCTCGACTTTGGGCATTCTTCCATATACACAAAACAACGAAAAATTACAAAAGACAAACATCTATGAGCGCCGGACAAAATCTGGTATTGGACATGGCCGGCCCTTATGGGTCGGCCCCCAGTGATGCAGCTTTGGCTGCAAAGCAGCAGGTCCACCCGTTTCCCTCCAGCTTTGAGACCGGAATCCTTTCGGAACCAAGCGAAACCAAGACCATCCTTTCAACCACCTTTTCAAGCTCCGAACCCAGGCGGACACTCATCCGAACACACGATCTCGAAACCGTCCACGCCATGACCAGAGTGGACGCTACTCACATCTACTCACTATTCCTCAAGGCGCAGCGCGATCAAAGGCTCCCCAGCAGCCAGCGGGGCAATGAGCCTGGCGAAGGTGCGGTGCGAAACGGGGTGGAACTTGGCGATGAAGAAGGAGCCTTGCGCCCCAAGGAATTTTTGGGGTGAAAGAAATTAGACCTTGCCGGTATGAAACATCTCGACGGGCGACAAGTCGGCTGGGTCGCTGCATGCAGAACTGGTGGCGTTGACTTCAGCCCTGAAGACATCCAGTACACCCGGGAAGAGACCCACATGGAACCAGAAAATGGACCTTTGGAAGATCAAAAATTCCTCCACGAACCCAGTGGTTTTCCATGTAACAGTCTTCCAGAGCGTATTCTTTCAGGCACAGGGTTTGCCTCAGGGCAACACAAACAGGATTGCAGTATGGAGGATGGTTTTGGTGTGCGCCTAGTGGCCTTAGTGAGGTCCTGGTGATGAGATGAGGGACTGCTGAAAGAGAAGCAACACTTGCCCATATGGATTCAGCGTTTATCAGAACTCAATGGTGACGCAATATAATTAGACATATGACATATATAGGCATATAGTGACATGCCTTGACAGTGGTGCTCGCCCCACCAACGGGTCCTCACTGGGTACACGACGGAATCTTGCGGCACTTTTCAGTATCTAAAGCAAGAGTTGATGTTCATACTCCGTCCATCTCCGCGCTGCTGTCCCCAAGAAAGCCGGCTCAAAGAAACTCCAAGTGCTACTTCTCCAAGATAGCTCAGCACACTTTCACCAAGTTCGCCATCTTGAACGATGCGACAAAGGTCAGTTCTTTTCGCGCCGATGCGAGAGTCGACGACCTAGAGAGGTGTTGTTTTTCATAGCCGTTCTTTTCACCTATCCCATATGGCTGTGGGCCAAGGCACTGGAAAACCGACCGGTTTTTGCCCACGGGTCGTTAACAGAATCAACTACTGAGGGGGTCAACCCAGAAGGCTTTAGAGCTTCAGGTCTTGACTCACTGTCATACTAGTATGTACCATTGGTGATGACCCCAAGCTGAAGAGGATCGGACTTGCAATCCGAAGAGAGGCACCGCGAGGCACCGCGACAGATGTCTGCAATCACCAATGAACCAGTGGACGCCTCCCCAAGGACACCTCCAAGCTTAAGTCCTCCGGCAAGTCATCGCCTGCCGACACGCCCGACAGGGATGGGACATCGGTAGCTGGCCGCCATAGGAGGCCAGCGTGCAGGTGGACAGTGCCGGTTTTGGGGGGTCAAAGTCCTTAATGCACGTGGTTGAGGTGAATTCCATTCACAGGTGTGAAGGCAATTCAATCCAAGGGTCTGATGGGCATGGGGTCTGGTAGAGCTTCAAGTGACCCGATGATCTTTACATATCTTTACCCTCCCTGCAACAATCATGGCAGCATACATACCTGATTCGCTTCTGAGCCCTGAGCCATCTAACACGATGGGGCCGTGAAGAACCAGAGGGTTGTCTTCAGGTTCTGGTGACTGATATATGCATAATATGCGTATAATATATACAAAATAACAGGACTCATGTGGCAGCTATAAGGCCAGCTTCCATTGACTTACTGTACAGGCCACCAATCCACCCGCCGCTCCCGGTTCGCGGTTTCAGCTGCCGCCTGAGACCTCTTGAAATTGGAGCCGCTCGAAAAAGCCCAGCTTGTTTTTCAAGGTCAAGGCGTAGACTCGCCTGGTCTTTGGGCTTCAAACGAATCAACCCATGGGACCCTCTTCGCCGGGGGAGGTTGTTGGACACTTGGAGAATGGAAACGCTTTTTGTGAGTGTTGTATTGCCGAAGGACATATATTTACGCGGTGTCATACTAGATTTGTTCAGTAGACATACCAACCAGAATGACCCCTGTTCTAGATTCTAGATCCACTACATCCAATCCATTCCAATCCAAACCGTTTTCCCTTCTCAAAATCGGGATCAAACTGCTTCCAAAGTCTGTTGAACCAGCGCGGTGATGCGCGGAAGTTCATTCTTCCACAGGTGCCGTGCAAGTCCGACCGAAACACCGTGGACCGGCAGATCTGGTCGACCGAAACACCGTTCACAAAGCCTATCGTTCGGGGTTTCACGGCTCGTGCTCCGCATTCCGCATGCCATGCTCCGGGCTCGCGGAGGCGCCAGCTGGCCCAAGTCGCACAGTTTTGAAGGCACTTCACGTGATGAAACAAAAACACTTCCAGACACTCCACGGGACTGCCATATATGCCGATCAATTGACCCCTCAAACGACCCCAACTGATCGGCATATATGGCATACATGGAGTGCCTGGGACTGCTGATTCTGAGGGGTTCACGGAAACAGGTCTACAGATCGATCCGTGGAGAAACACATGGGATGGTCCAACACATGGGAGTTGGAGTCGGAGTTGAAACTCCAAAAAGACGACCTCACATCCAGTCTCATCCCGGAAAAGCGACCAAAACAGGGCGGGGTATGGCGTTCATGTCGATCCTCTCTGTGCAACTTCCAGTGAAAAGACGAACGGACGAGTTGCTGGACACCTGGGTTGGATGATGCACTCCGACGAACGTTTCACGGCCGTTTTTGGCTTTCACTTAAAGCAAAAATGTTCAAAAAATGGTTTGTAGATGCTGTACAGACTTTCTGGAGCTGATGAGTTAAAGCTAGAGAGAGCTGATGAACTGTGAGGATTTGATAGTCCTACTTCGTCCCCAGTATCTCACCGCATGGGTTTGGTACCATAGAACACGCGCCTCTTCTGCTCCGTCTTCCGCCTGCATAGGCTCGGACAAAGCAACAGCTCCAGTCATGTGTTCCGGTGATAGGCCTTGCTTCTCCAGAAATCTGAGGCAAAGCAGGTGATGTGTGGTGCACGGATGATGTTCAAGATCTTTCAACTAATTCTGCGGCCCGTTCGACAATGTTGATTCTTGATTAATCAACCCCCCCTCCCCCCGTCAACAATTGGAGACCCTAGAATAATATGATAGAAAAGCAATCCATTGATGAAAACAAACATAGTCATTACTTAGCTACCTCTGGAGCTACTATGGCAATACTAAAAGGAAAGGAATCAAGATTGAAGACATCTGCAATAATAAATGAAAGGAATCAACACCTAAGATTGAAGACATTTGCAATATTATATAAATATGAAAGGACACAATAAACCCAACATGGAAATCTCAACATTAATACTTTTAATAGAACTCTGTATCCAAAGACCTTTCAAATCATTAAATCTCAATGGACATATAAACTTTTCATGGTGTTTTAATGTTTTTGAATACGGATTTTGTAAAGAAAGTGCACACATACTTTTGTGAACATTTGGAAGACTTAAAGATTAAAGGGATTATGAAAAGCAAAAGACTTGATCAAAAGGAAACACAAACAAAAGGCATGACGATGAGATTCAGAGAAGCCGCAATCCAAGAAGCCCGAAAGCTCTAGACATTGTTTTAGAGGCCCAACAAAAAAATTAAAAAAATTGCTTGCTGGACTACCCCTTTGCTGGAATGGTTTCTTTTGTTTTTCACTGTTTTTGAATAATGATGTTTGTAAGACAGTGCGCACACTTTTGTGAAAATTTGGAAGACTTAAAGATTAAAGATATTATGACAAGTAAAGGACTTGATCAAAAGGAACGCAAAAAAAATGAAGATCAGTTTCAGAGAAGCTGCAATCCAAGAAGCCCCCTAATCTCTAGACATTATTTTAGCACCCCCCAAAAAAAAATAATGACAGAAACTTGCTTGCTGGACTACCCCCTTTTCCAACGACCTTCAAATCTCAATGGAAATCTATGGAAATCTTTAAAAAAATAGACATAGACATATATCATATATATCCATCCAAAGACCTCCAGAATCACCAAATCTCCATGGAACTATCAAATTGTTGATGAACATATGCATCCAAAGATAATCAAAATCACTAAACCAAGCATGGACAAAACATAATTAAAAAGGACAATCAACATATTTTTTAAAAAAACTCCACCCAAAAGAAACATTATTCTGGTGGCCTTTATTAATCAGTGCAGGGAAACTTGCTGACATTATTCTGGGGGGGCTTTATTAATCAAAGGAACACATGATGGAAGATTTCAGCAGGTCACCCTTTCCCCATCTCTCCCCCTATCCGGACACGTAAGCGCCCCCCCCGCCCGCCCCCTTTCCAGCGCCCCAGCCTCGGATCCGCGCGCGCGCCACGCGTGGACGTAAGCGATCGACGTCGCCTCTCCAGTAAGGCTCGCACCAAGGCAGATCCGATGCCCTGGCCACGAGCTTCGACGTTCACCTCAGCGTGAGCTCGTTCCTTCCGTTGAAGCGCACGCGTTGCTTCGGGGCCGCCGGTGTTCCGTGAAACGTTCGTTTGGGGGACAACATCCCTATATGTCTTGGTCCCAAAACGGTCAGTCCATCACGGTGGAACAACTCGCACCGTTCGAGGGCACGAAAAACATCGAAGCCACGCGTCGTTCAGACGACGCGCGTCTTAGAGCTCCTTCTGAGTCTCAAACGCGCTGGAAATGGAACAGGATATTTTACCGAGGCTACTGGATGTCTAAAGCAATCCTCTTGAGAATCCCACACCTGCCACTGCTGGCAATGGAGGAACGCCCCAAAGTGACGCGCCATTCGAGTCAAACTACCTCGACCCTTCGTTGGAGGTGTTTCCTGGGTGTCCAATTTGGGTGCCCAGGTTCCCCACCGGACTTGGGATGGTCCAACAACTATCAGTCGACAAGGTCCTGCGGCAGCACCCAACGGCGTGATGAGCATCCCCGGGCCCCCCCTCCTAGTCCTAGGGATCAGACGAACAAAGACGCCAGCAGTAAGGGACTGGACTCATCCTGCGGGCTGATTGTGCGTGAGATAGCGGGGGCTCGGTCCAAGCTCATGTGTCACCCACATGCTCATCAAATCGTCAAAACCTCCAGTCAAGTTTAGGGTTTAGGGTCAAGCTCCCTCCTAATCTGCTATGTCATTCCCACAGATGACCCCCTATGTCATTCAAGGCCCGCCACCTTCGCTCCAATGCTCGGGCCACCTCAAAGCGAAGAAGCAATGCACCTTCACTTGCCTTTTTTGGTGGATCCGATCCGTCCTCCAAATCCAAGGGCCGCAGTTGTGCGAAGCCTGGCGCATCGGTCCCGAATCCGATGTTGAGAGGTCCACAAAAGAGGTCACGAGGGTCACGAACTGAAGGTCCGAGGTGAGTTCAGTCTCAACATGCCCCACGGTCGAAGCCGTACTCACTTGAATCTCAGCTAAAGTGGCCCTTTGTGCTTATAGTCACTTTAAGACCTGGAACAAGGACGCTACTAGTAACAAGGGGCATCGCTACGAACGGAGCGATCGGACGCTTTTAGGGGCACTATTAGGGGCGCTCCTGGCCTTACGAACGGAACCTTAAGGACGCTATAGCAGGCCTCGAAAGGCTCACAAACTGAAGAAAGCTGAATAGCTGGGCAAACTTAGCTTGAGGTATCGAAGGGATGGAGCCTGCTGGAGATGAGATGGCAGTTGGGATGGCATGATGACGGCGATGTGATGTTCCTGAGAATTCTATGCACTTGAGAATGCTCAAAAGTCTTAGGCTCTTCCTTTTGTTTAATTTCTTAATAAATGTACTCTACTGTCATTTACTTTGACATCTGGTTCCTGAACATTGCAGGATTATCAGGATTGCACTAACTCTGCTGATGCCTCTTGGATCTCCCAGTCGTGGCTCGGCTCGTCTCATGCTCGATCGGTCCGAAGCGCATCGGATGTTAAGGTCGGGGTCGTCAAGCCGTCGAGAACGACACAAGGACGCAAGGATCGTTGCTGTGACGATCGAACGCAAGGATTTCAGTCATCCTTTCCAAGTATAGAATCCCGACCATAGCAGACTTAAAGATAAAGACTTAAAGAATCCAAACACACATGGTCTCAGACATGAGATTCGCGACCGGACGTCCGAAGCCCACGTGTCATCGGACTTGTTCGGTTCGACGCGTCCCACGTCCACGACTCCTGAGGTCGACGAGGTCGACTCGGCGTCCGAGGAAGAGACGCCACGCAGGTGCGAACGAAGGAGAAGCGGTTTCGGATCGAAGCGGTTTCGACTGACTCTGTAGCTGCAGAAGTTTAGATCAATTCTAACCTTTGAACTAAAAAGGCCCAACTCAGGAGCAACATCTTCCCAATCATAGTGATATAAAAAAAAGAATCTGCCGGGAAAAACTAGTGCTTGATCTTTCATCTCGCCATGTCAGACAGGACACCAAAACCGTTTGTGCAATCTCTCCTCTAAGTGGCCCAAAACTTCACAGCTCGACAGCTCGTGTCGGTCTCGAACTCCCGCGCCTACACGATCCTCTGGTGAAGCCTCCATCCACCGGTCTCTAACGAGCCGGGTCGTCGATCACGGGAAGAGGGACAGGACTTGAAAGGTGGCCCCATTCATGGCCCATCCGACCCATCCATGGCCCCACAGACCCCCTATAAGGACGGCCATAGAACTGCCGAGAGGCGGCCGGCCTTTCTTTCGGGGTGGTGGATTGCTGGTCGGGCCGCCGTCCGCGGATGGCATGGGCGGTATGTCCGGCCCCGGTTGGACTCGGACCCATGACATCCATGAGACCTAATAGGTGAACTCACTCCACTTGGCCCATGATTTCAGGGAGTGTACGACACCTGATTCTATTCGTGTGACCAAATTGTGTTCGGATTTAACATGATCCAACTGGATGAAAACTCGAGGGCCAATCATGAGGCCCTTTGGCAAAGAAGAGGCCCCTACCAAACACATCAAAGCTGGACCTAAAAGGGAAAGGGTTGAACGCAAGACAGTTTCTTTTCACTGGCCAATTGGTCAACAGAACGCAGAACTTGCAACCCACCGGTTTGTTCAAAGTCGTCTTCCGATCAGCTACAGGAACATCGGTCGACCGTTCGAACGACCTTTTGCTTCGCCAAACAAAGTCTTCCCATACATTCTCCCGTCATCCACCATATATCCTTCCCCGTGCCAGGCGATTCATCCAGCTTGGGATCAACAAATAGCAGCAACAAAACCAACTCCCAGTTTCTTCAAAGCAACCCAACTTGAGGGTCCCCAAGTGATCCCATAAGTGACCCTCTCGAGGCCGCTTAACTGACATCAAACGGTGGTAACCGCCAAGAACCAGGTCCAGCTTCCATCACTCGAGCCACCAAACCACCCGGAGCCACCAAATCCAGTGATCCTCCCGCATGGTGATCCACCGACCTCCTTCACTGCGACGAGGAAGTTGGGAGCTGATAGGCCGAAGGGGCCTGATGTCCCCGGTCCAAAACGGTCTCCAACGGTGCTCGGAGAAGGGTCCCCCCTTCGATTCGGGATGGATTTACGGCGGATGCCAGAGGAGCGCAACGTGCAGGTCTGACGGCATGTCTGATCTGTATAATATGCGTGTATTATCGTGTATCCGATTGTATACGCTTCTTGAAGAGACCTGGACTTTGTATGCATGTGTTCCTTTCTTTTCTGTGCCCAAAGTCCCTGACGTGCTCAACTTGGTCAGTGACAGTCATCAAATCGAAAGAAGTGAACAGTCTACGCACCCCGTCCAATCTGTTCCAGGCCACTCATGATCATTTTGGCAATGGTGAAGGCTATCCTCAGGAGTGGCGCATATCAGCAGCCCTGGACTCTCTGGGCCATTTTACACCCATGGATCCTGGGTTACGGACTGATCCGGGGAGACGAAAGAAAGAGTGGTGGGCCTTCCTGAACTGGCATCCAGTTTCTGCAAGTCTGCCACCTCCATGCCCAGTGGCACTATGCTATGAATCCACTGCCCTCTTTTCAAAGGCGATGTCATACCTGAGAAGTTCTTTGGATCCCAGGGGCAGGCGTACACACCCGCTCGTCCTGGACCCCCCAAGTCCATGCTGGACCAAGCGCGTCCACCAGCGAGGTCAGCGAGGTCCTGTTTCTTTTTCCCGAAGGTCTCGACTTCTGCAGGCGCGAGGAATTCCCGACTTCTGCAGGCGTCACGTCAATTGCTTGAAGATGGAGACGTGTCAGACTCTGAAGTACAGCTCTGTGAGGAGCAGCGTTTCAATCTGTACCACTCACAGGCTGCAAAGGTTTTTCTTCCTGTGCAAGGTTGTCCGATATGGCCCGAAAACATGCCGAGGTGAATGGGATGGCTCCAACAAATGGCAATGAGACGATGGATCATTGCATAGAGACCTTGAACCCTTGATAGCAAATAACTTGGAAGACCTTCCACATCCGTTAACTACGACAGGTTCACTTGCCCACTGAACGGGGGGGCATGGGCTGCATGGTCTTGACCCCTAAACCACCCCGGAAAGATGGCATCCGCTTTTGTCTTTAACCCATAGCAAACATGGCGAGAAACTCTTGAAACACTGCAAGTTCGTCATCTCTCGGGGGAGTCATTCACCGTGCAAAAACCTGCGTTTTTTTTGAAAGATGGAAGTGACATGGAGTGACGACATGTTCAGCGACGTTCCAGAAATGGAGGGGACCCGCAGAAGGAAACCGATGTTCAACACTTTCCAAAGGTTGTTGTAAAACAAGTTTAATCATTTGATCTATCGTAACCAAACAAACACACTGCACAGGAAAATAGATTCTGAAACCAATAACCTAGGTTCCTCGCGCAAAAAACAACTGCACTAAACACAGGCCAAAGGGTATGCGTTCCGCACTTCCTTGTATACCCAACATTGCAATTGGGATCAAACACATCCAGCCGATGCCCGTGAGCAAAAGCCACACCGTCTCTGACACCGCTGCGGACCAAAAGGACAACACTGACGCCACCAAGCCAATCACAAGAATCACGGCGACAAATTTGGTCACCACCTTCAATACAAAGCATTGTTCATCCGCATGACTCCGAGCAATCAAGACTAATAGGATAAAGCGGGCAACAATTCCAATGCCTTGGAGAACTGCAATGTACCAGCTTCCTCTCAAGTTCAGCATGTAAACATACAAAATACCTGGTTCGGAGCGGCACACAGCAGAACATTTGTTTGAACATGTCGGATCATACCGCTGGATGGGGATGACTATTAAAAAAAACAATTCAAATCACATACAAGATACAATTGATCACTGACCCCAATTGAAAGGATATCATCAAAACAGCTGCCGCCGCGATTTCAGAATACGCAGCCAACTCGATGTCCACTCCAGCTTGGGCAACGTATCTCAATGCAGGAGTGGACATTCCAGCAGTGAGAAGTACATGGATTGCGTAGTCCACTGAATCTTGTCGGTGATCAATTTCCTACCGGCAATGGTGCCAACTGCCCCAATTGCAAGGGATTTATGATGAAATTGCAAGTGTTCAAAACACACATATATATATATTGAAATGGTATACCCTTCCTGCTGGTGTGGTTCATATTCAGAACGGCATGCCTTGGACGTGCGAATGTTTGAGTCCAGTGACAAAATAACCAGTGTCAATCTGTAGAGACTTTGTTCCCCACATTGACGTGTGGGGTTATTGAATGTTGTTTTTAGTGCTGTATCCGTTCCTCTCGTCCTCCTTCCTCCCGCCCCCCGCTCAACAACCACCAACCAACATCCACCAATAACGTCCACTCACTCACTCACTCACTCACTCACTCACTCACACAACCACCAACATCCACCAACAAACGTCCACCAACGACATCAACTCACTCACTCAACTCACTCACTCAACTCAACTCACCCAACTGACTCACTTAATTACTCAACTCAACTCACCCAACTCAATCACTCAGCTCACTCACTCAACTCCCTCACTCAACTCACCCACTCACTCTGTTCACTCACCCAACTCACTCACTCAACTCACTCACTCA